CTTCTGTAGTAGCCAGCCATATCAAGAAAACGCATGAGTTGTTTCTTGCTCTCTGGTCGTGGAAAGTTAGCTATTGCTTCAACCTTGGCACTAACTGGTTTAACTTGACCTTGTCCAACTATATGCCCCAAATAAGTGACTTGCACTCTGCCAAACTCACTTTTGGAAAGATTTATGGAGGAGTGTTAAAAGGTGAGATGGTACACACATAGTACTAGGCCAATGTGCTTTGGAGGCTTTGTACGACTATTACTTGAGCAATGAATAATGTCCTACGCAATACTAATGACTTGATGTTTGTTCTTCAAGGATTCACTGTAGTGACAGCCTGAAAATGTTAAAACCTTCATCTTTAACTAGAATAGAATCCTTAGAATAATAGGTAATAATAGGAGGAGAACAATAGAATAATGGCACTTATTGTCACATAAGGATGACATCATTACCTAATATATTCACGTAAACCTACAGGATATCATCACTACCAATGACGTGTACCTGGATGACATCATCCTTTGAGAATATATGCATTTTATGTGTGGTTCTTTATATATGAGTCTAAAAGAAGGTTGCTGATCCATGTGGGAGTTTTTTGCGTTACGTATGGGCAGTAAGAAGAACGGGCATCGGAAAATTGCGCACGCGCAGTAAATGTAAATTTGAAATAAAAAAATCGGCAATGTTTCTTTCTTCAAAAACCACTTATTTTCAATTCAAGAAAAAGTTTTAAAGTCGTGGGAGAATTTTTCAACCTTAAAGCGCAATAAAAATCTCAAAGAGCAACAAAAACATTATTCTAATCCATACGGTAAGTACACAACTGTGAAATGGCCCATTAAAATACCAAACAAGTATAAAGGTCCATTTCCCCTGGTTCCGCAGAAAGAATAAATGCTGTGTATGATAATACAGATTCGGGAATATAACTCTGTATGAAATCAATCATTTCTTGAGCTGAATGATCATTGTAATGTCCTATTCGCATTATCAAACGCATCACACATCCTTGCTCTCTGTATATGTGTAAGGTTGTATTACCAAAAATTCGAACTATGATATGTAGCTCTGATATAGTATGATGTAGCGTTTGAAATACACTTCCTTTAGGAATAGAATGGTGAAACAGATCTTTGAAAAGAAAAAATTAAAACAACGAGTTTACATCTAGTTCGCCATCTCCTCTTTCCACATTAACAAAGATGGATGTGTAGTCTAAGACCGATAAATGAAATAAAACGGAAAAGAAACTGTATTAAAATCCTAGAAGGTCATTTAATTCTCCAGCAGAAGCTATGATGACTACATTTCCTCTAAATTGATCTATATGAATATCATCGCGATTATCAATGTGATCGTACTACCATGATGCTTATTCAGACATGGATTGGAATAACGCTTCTTGTGAAATATGATGAAGCAAACATGGAACAGCCTTTAAATACTAAAAAGAGTTAATCAGGACCTAGGTATTGAATTGCGTAGGATGAGGCCCTGTCATAAAATAAATCATTTTCAATTAATCTACAGTAATAACTCATAAAATCTTCAAAACTAGATTGCCAAATCATTGTCCTTACTCTAAAATAATTTGTTACTGATGATTGAAGTAAAGTATATATCCAATGTTCCATGTCACGACGATGTCGTTTTTTCAGGTCAATCAGCCTTGATGACTTTAATCAGTTCTAGAAGGCTATTATCCTTCTGCGTGTGGTCTTTAATTTCTTGAAGCGTACTCGGCTTCAAACAGATGTGCTGCGTCATGTTGATGCTCTCAATCTTTGAAGCGACATCCTGGCTTCTATCGTAGGGTGAATAAGCCCGACTTAGGGTGTCGGCCAGATACATGGTGGAGCCTTTCTTGTAGCCCAGTTTGACGTTGTACAACTGAACTCGCATGAGCATGCGCTGAAGCCTCTTCGGAGCTCGATGCAGTGGCTTCTTGACAATAACTTCCAGAGGCTTGTGGTCTGATTCCACAACCACTTCTCAACCGTATGAAACCTTTCCAAACCGTAAACCACAGCTAAAGGCTCCTTCTCAATCTGGGCGTACCGAGACTCTGAATCGGTTAGCGCACGGCTTGCATAGGCAATAGGCTGACCCTTCTGAAGTAGGACGGCACCCAGTCCTTTATCTGATGCATCGCACTATTAGGTGAGGCTCTCTGTTGAGTCGAAAAATTTGAGGACAGGTGCCTTTGTGATTAGCAGCTTCACTTGTCGGACAGCACTGTCATGTATGTCAGTCCAGAACCATTCTACATCTGGTGAAGTGAACTTACGGAATGGCTCCAATGCATCACTTAGTTGAGGCAAGACCTTGCTCAGATAATTTGTGAATCCAATAAATCTTCGTACACTGGCCACGTCAGTTGGCGTGGGCATTTCCAACACCGCCTTAACTTTTGCAGGATCTGCTTGAAGACCCTTCTCTGATATCACATGACCCATAAATGGGACTTCTTTGCGTCGCAGATTCACCTTGTCCTGGTTCAACTTAATGTTTTGCTCCCGGCACCTCCGCATTAAGGAGTGGAAATTGTTTTCATGATCTGTTCGTGCTTCTTCCACTGTAGACCCCTCGCCAAAAATCAAGATATCATCATGAATGGTTAACACACCTGCCAGGCCGTCAAGTGCGTCAAATGGGCATGCGATGGCATCAAAATCTTCCAAAGGAAGAATTGAATGTTGTTAAGCGTGAACTGTCATCGTCAAGCTCAACTTGCCAGAAACCGTTCTTTGCGTCCACAGTGGAGAACACTTTAGCCCTGGTAAGCTCAGGTAGAATGTCTTCAACTGTCGGGGTTGGATAGTGGCTCCTCCTAAGAACTTTGTTGAGGTCCCTGAGGTCCAGGCAAACACGAATCTGTCTATTAGGTTTTTGCACAATAACGAGGCTCGAGACCCAAGGGGTAGGCTCTATGACTTTTTCTATGATCCCGAGACTCTGCAGCCGTTCCAACTCTCGTTTCAGCTTTCCCTTGAGTGCGACAGGTACTCGTCTAGGAGGATGGACTACTGGCTAAACATTCTCTTCAATTTCCAGCTTGTACTGCCCCTTCAATTTTCCAGTGCCTTGAAACACATCTGAGTACTCCTTTAAGACTTCTTCCATCGAAAGGGGGCCCTGACTACCGCGCTGAACCTCTGCATTGACGGTCATAACATTTTGGTGTTGCACTCTGACCAAATCCGTCTGCTGCATCGTTGGATTTCCTAAAATCGGTGTTTACTGGTCATTGTCCACAACAACAAATTCGATCTGATACGTTTTGGAATTCTTGGGGTTAGATACTGCTACAGTGCACGTTCCAAGAAAGTTTTAGAAAGGCATTGTGAAGCGAAATGATTCATTCTTCCGCAAACCGAACACCTTTTCCCAAACGCGGGGCAACTTTTCTTGGCAGCATGATGTTTTCCACCACAGAATTTGCATCTTAGTACTTCATTAGGACTGGAATCTCTCGCGTTCCGATCAGCATTTTCGCGCCTTTTGTTCGCAGACTTGTCATGGCTTTTGTTAGCTAACACCTTGCCGCCTCGTTTAGTCCTTCAATGAGTTTACTGCTTCGCCCTCTTCCAAAGTTTTGGTCCATGTTTTTGACAACTCGGCTGCTCTACAAATGCTGAGGCATCTTTGTAAATCAAGATCTGGGATCTTAAGCAGTTCTTCTCGAAGTCGCCGGTCCTGGATTCCTCAAATGATCCGGTCTCTTACCAACGAATCTTTAAGATCAGCGAAGTTACAGGTTGTCGCCAACAGCTTCAAATCTGTAACGAACTTTTCTTGTGATTCACCAGGGTCCTGATTACGGGAGAAAAACTTGAACCTCTCAACAGTTTCATTTTTTCTGGGATTACAATGCCCGTTGAACGCTTCTAACACCTGCGTTAAGGTTCTTTCCGACGCGGGAATTTCGAAGGCCAACTTATCATAAATTTCTCTTCCTTGACTGCCGATTAAATACAGAAATAACTTTACTTTCGTCGCTTCGTCTCTGCCGTTCATTGCCAGATCCATGTACAATTCTAATTCTTGCTTCCATCTTTTCCAATTGTCAGCCAAGTTTGTCGCATCAAAGTCCAACTGAACGGGAGGTTTAAGCTATGTAATCCTGTCAGTCGTTCCCGCATTTGCACTTGCCTGTTGTCCGTCCGTCGGCATTGTAGGTTTCTTTCAAAAAGTTTCTGTCTATTCTGTACTGACTCCTGACACCATGTTTAGTTACGAAGGAATCGTTTCATAACTCCCATCTAGTGTTACATCAACTGCTTTATTCTGACAAAACCTGTCCTTTTTAGTTTAACACTCAAACGAGGCTACAACTAAACAATGCTTATTGTTACAACATGGATGTTCCTTGATACACAAACACGCGTGATTAGATATCCAAACACACGTCTTAGGATATCCAAACACGTGTGTTTGATGGTCAATTTCCAAAAGAATACAGTACTTGAACAAATGTTTATTAACTTCCACGATTACAGTAATCATTCTTTGCAGTTAACATTAACGTTTACATTGCAATTCAAGAACATTCCAGAATTTAACTCATTTAAAATTCCACGCACACTGCTTTCACATTCCAAAAGTTCGCTGCTAATACTCGTGGTTTCCGTTACGCTTCTAGATGTACAAGGTCCAAGTAGTTTCGACACTTTAACACTCTGCTCTAGACTAGGTTTCTTATAGGTTAACAAGGCATCTGAACTATGTCCGGTCCTTTCTCGAACGAGTTTTCACTTCAACGCCTGAATTGAACAACTTCGTTGCACAGGCAATTCTGAAAGAATGAGCTGTTTTCGGTTTACTTCCAACCTCCGTGCACATGTTTGGCAAGATTTCATTCAGCTGTGAATTCAAACTGTACTTTTATCAAAGGCTAATTTTTGTTTACTTGGTCTAAGACAAAAAGAATCAATTTCCTTAGCTTTACACTCTACGAGACCAATGTACAGTCGATATACTTCTAACAGACGATGATCGTGTTTCTACCCGATATCGTGACAAATGTGCTTAACACTCTTCGGAACATATTTGAGATCACACAAACCTCCGTGAAATGTTTTGCAAAAATCTTCCTCAAATTTAATAAAGTTTGGACCTAACTCAAAATTCTTCAAACTCAAATTCCTATTCTCACTTCTTCTCAATCCGAAAATTTTTCCGTTGAAATAATAAACAGAATTCAAAAGAGACGTGGTCCACAATCTAACAGTCCTTTTCCCAAAATAATTCTTCATCTTCATTTGTAACTGCCTTCTTTTCCGGCCTCTTGGTTTCAAGATAAACACCTTGGCGCGTAGCATCCTACATTTCGGCGTCCAAACATCGAAAAATGGCAAACTTAAAGAGAAGTAAAGCATAACTTTCACAAACTTTTTATATCATGTAAAGCGCTCTGGACTAAAGCACAACTCCTGGAAAAGTACCTCTTATAACTTCTGTCCAATGGATTCAAAGCTTTCCCTTCATTTTTATCCTTCAAATGTCGCTTCAACCCACAAACAATTCCATACAACGAACGAGGCGCATAACGATCACCCACCTCCTGGACGAACTTATTAAGCCAGAAGTTCAGGGAAAAGCTGTCCAGGTCTTCCAATTTCGGAAAATATCAACAGCCCACTTATCTTTTCACTGAGTTAGGCTTTGAACGTTCGTGCAAAGAAACTTCTTCTTTGCAACTTTTCGGCGGTTGAAACCGGGAAGACCTTTCCGTAGCCATCGCCAGAAATCAAGGACATTTCGAGCCCGCTAACAATTATCATCGGTATATCGTATTACACTCCGGAACAATAGAATATCAAGAGAATTCAATATGCCGGCGATCACGGCTCGATCTGCAAAGAAGAGTGTTTCGTAGCATGACTTATACAATTTGAGCACCGCAGATCTTCTATTTGATGAAAAGAAAAGGAAAAGAAGACCTGCAAGTAAATCTTTGGGATTTTTCGAAGCAGAGCGATGACATGATGTCAGAATTTTGATTTGCTTTAATTTAATTTTCGCGCTAAAACTACTGAAATTGCATTCAATGCCTGGGATATTTTTATTCCGAAAAGGACCGAGAACTAATTTATTTCCCTGCAAGAACATAAACAAATATGGCCGACGATTCGAAGATCAGCGTTGCTCGTGTTTAACTATTTCAGTCATAGTTTTCAACATTGCGTCTCGTCACTTACTCAACATGGAAAATAAGGGATATTCTGGCGCGTTGGGAACTTTTTTGATGGGAGGAAATGGCAATTTTACAGGATATTTGGACGCTTCGAACTCTTTAGCAGTCAATTCGATCGAGAGCAGTTGACTTTATTGATGCACTTTCCTGTAATAGGCGAGTGTTTGGGATGGAGAACGACGGATTTTGAAGAAGTGTATGGCGACCCAGGTCAATAATCAATGACAAAAGAACTGGCTCGGGAAGTAAGTGGTTTTTATTTATCGAGTTCCTGTGAGGTTTGATGAATAGCAGAATCAGTACTGAATATGTCTCGATCGAGAGCAGACGGGACCATGAGCTCCTGATTGTTATATTTTTTAGAAATTTTACAAATTTCCATACAGTTTCTTATATTATTTGGACGCCATTATGGACGAAATGCACAAGCTCGGCCGCCATCTTGTCCAATATTTCTGCCGATGGCTGCTTCTTCAATTTCTCAAAATTGCAAACGAGGACGCTAATGCAAAGTGTGACTGCTTTTAATTAAAAAGCCGAAGTTGTGAAAAAGCACAACGCCTTTCATGACACTCACTAACAACTATGCACGTGCGATGATGAAACAAAAGAAAACAAAAACTAACTATTTTTATAATAAAGTTCGGATGTAATGCGCGCTGTCATTGGTTGAAAGAGCGTGCCCTATAAGAGTATAGAGCATAGAGCTGAGCTAAAGCTGTCAAGCCATCTGCCAAATTGTACCATGTTCGACCTTTTCCGGGACTTCTTTTTAGCTTTTTTCCGATCATTGAAAGTAAAATTTCGGAACAAGCGAGCCGGCAAGTAGTAACAGAAGAACCAAACAAAGGTTTGTAAACTTACCAGACGCCGTAATTTACGTTATTTTAACGTGAGCAGATACAAAAATCCTCAAAGGAAAAACAAAATAGACATTCCAAGTTTTAAAGATTTTCACGCTCAGTTAGATTGCAAGCTTACGTACGGAAATAAAAATCAAACACAGCTAACATTCGTATGGTATATAAAGTTCAGTGTTCAAATACAAAACTGAACAAAACAGAAATGATGAAAAATATAACCAAACTGGCATAACTGTTAAAATTTATTCTAATCATGACGGTGTCTGCGCGAATTTGATCATGCTGAAGTCCATCGCGGCTCGCTTATCATGGCGATCTCCGGTCATCACAGTAGAGCAAGCCTCGGAAACTATATCGGCCGCCCTTCGAGTAAAAAAATAAGAGCTTGCTCTGATATCCTTTCCGATACGTTGAGTGGAAAGTCACATCAGTCACTGCAGCTGAGTTTTGCCGTGCTGTCATCCTGAGCGATCTTCATGTTCCGGTGAATTCGGCTGTCGTTCATTCAAAATACACTCGCCTTGAACAGTTTGTTTCCTACCTTGTCATGTGAAAAAACTCGCGTTTTTTTAAAACTATTTTTATGAGCCATAATTCGGCTGAAGTTCACTGAACATTCCACTTCAAGATTTTGTATTAGAGACTTAACTTCAGGCAAAAGTGTTAAATTCGACCTGCCGAACTATTTTAGTTTGTAAACTATCGCAGAATGTGAACTTTGATGGTTTCTGAACTTTGATGGTTTGACACTTTTGACAGCTTTAGTCTTGTACAGCCAATCAGATTACTTGAACCATTCTAACAGGGATTCTGATTGGCTTATTGAAGCGTGCTTTATGAGAGTATAGAGCATGCTGACGACACTGTTGTTCGCTTTGGGAATAAAATTTGTTTTGAAAATTGAAAGTGATGCTCGGGGAATTTAACGGATTCTTTATAATAAAACAAATAGAGAAGCCTCGACTGTGCTCTGTTCTGTTAGAAAGCACTTAGGAAGCGGCTAGTCGAGTGTTTCTCCCTACACTTCTTTCGTGCTCTAGCCGCTTCCTGCGTGCTCTATAACAGAACAGAGCACAGTCAAGGCTTCTCTATTTGTTAAACGTGGTCTTTTTGTTTTCGTGTTTATTGATAATAAATAAGGCCCTTTTGAGAAGCAATATCATAAACTCGAGCTTCGTGTTTCAACAGGATACCTAGATAGCCAAGGGCTGCTCTTTGTTAGTTCATTTTCCGTTTTTTGTTTGTTCGTTTTTTTTTTATATGGTCCATATTTAGAGGGATGACCGAAGAAATACCTACAAGAATTTTACAGATCTTGAGACGCACCATCCGTAGTAACGAATGCACTTCGTTTGAAACTGGTGTCAAACTTGTCATACCCATCCGTTTAGATGTCAATTCATCTCGTGTCAGAGTCATGTTACGTAACGCTTTGCTTTGGGGATTCATTCCCGAAATTGGCCGTTTTTATACTAGAGGACGCATTATCCGTCCAGACGGATAATGCGTCTCTTGTGGTATGCGTCTAGTGTAAAGACGGGACGAATAACAAGACGAACTACGAAAGACGAACGAGATATTCCGCGCGGCGAAAAAAAAAAGAATGGGCACTAGTGTGCCTTGTTTGGCGGTAAAATTTAAAGATGGCGGCCGCGCTTGAACTTCTCAAATTTTTTTCCCGTAAGAGAAAGGCAGAACAAGAGTTTTTAGGTCACCAATATAGGTTAAAGGAAGAAATTGCAAAGAAACGTTTTCGTAGGGAGATGGAGTTCGAAACTGAAGCTTCACAGCCCGCTGTTATGTCAGCAATCGTGATTACAAAAAGCGACAGAAACGAGCGTGGTCCTGATGAGTTGAGGAACGGAAATTGGTGGACAGACGGATATCAAAACTGGGATGAAGAATCTTTCAAGAAAAGGTTAAGGGTTTCTCGAGACACTTTTGAATTTATTCTAAGCGAAATTAAAGACCTTATCGTGAAGGAGCCCACTCGCATGAAGCCTCACCCTACTCCGCCTGCTACCCAGTTGGCTTTATGTCTATACAGACTAGCACACGGGTGCACGTTTTTGACCGTTGGAGATCTCTTTGGGGTTGCAGAATCAACTGCTCACATCATTTTCCAAGACGTTTGTAAGGCCATTGTGGGATGTTTGTATGACAGATTCGTTTACCTGCCAAGAAATCTACAAGAGTGGAGTCAAGACTGGAAAATTTTCTGGGAAATTGGGAGTTTCCTTGTGTTGGGGCGTGGGATGGGTTTCATGTTTACGTAAGCACTAAACTTAAGAACTTTTACAGTTACAAGAAGAGGTATTCAGTTACAAACATGGGATTCATTGGTTATAACAAGCGTTTTATGTGGGCTGCAGTGGGCGCCCCAGGATCCACACATGACTCTAGGCTTTTAAGAAGTTGTGGTATTTATTCTGACATCGAATCTGGTCACGTGCTTCCTAACAGGTCTTTGAATCTTGACCCTCATGGGGAGATTCTGTTTACCACTGTGGGTGATTCAGCCTTTCCCAACCATTCCTGGCTTCTAAAACCATACAAAGATGGGACAAGGGTACCTAAGCAAAGGTATTTTAACAGGAGACTTTGCTCTGCAAGGGTAGTTTCTGAACATGCTTATGGAATGTTAAAGGGGCGGTGGAGAATTCTCTACAAAAAGACAGATTGTCATTTAGACAACATTTCCCTCATCATCATGACCTGCATTGCTCTCCATAATCTTTGCATCCACCGAAGTGATCCCTGTAACCCCAGGTGGAGACTTCAGGTCAATGAACTCAATCTGATTCGAAATGGAGATGCCCAAGCTGATGATGGAAATACAACAAGAGAAGCCGTTGCCAATTGGTTGTGGGATATCAGAGAGGAAAGAAATGCAGTCATAGCCTAAAAAATAACATTTATTTGAGGGGTGAGTCAAAAAGTAAATGAAAAATTTTCAGGGGTGGGTCAAGAATAAAACTTATTGCTTAAAAAAAATTCCCTCCCCCACCCTTTACATAAATAATGACCAGTCCCTAACCAATACATCCAATTCTATAGAAGTGTTATAAAGTTGTAGTTCCATTAAACTTTGTAACAATGCTTTGTTTCAATTACAGAACAGTAATGATGTTAGTGTCTGGATCACTGGTTACATTTTGGTACCTTTATCACAACTGACAATAAATGAATTACAAGTAAACACAACTGCCTGTAATAACATGTCTGAGGTTTCAAAACGCAAGAGGGAAGCTCATGCCCCCTTAAATTCACAGTATTGCTCAATAAAGATAAGTGTGATAGAGGACCCTGTCTATAGAAAAGAAAAGTCCACCACCAACTCCTCCATAAACATGAGTCCCCCACCCTTAATGGAACTCTTGCTAATACCAACGCATGGATCTTTGATCATTCTGGCTATCCATGTCTAAAATGTGGCTATCTTGGCTACCACTTGCCACTTGATTGGTTGGAGGGGTATGGCTATATGGCATTGGATTGTAATAAGATACAAGAGGCTGCACAGGCATTGTTTGTTGTTGGAGATGCTGCTGTGCTCCTTGG